GCACATAATAACAACAAACAAAACTTTTCAAGAACATTACTCTGGCTATCGGCCTTTAAGGAGTAACACACAATATCTGAGACAGAACTTTTCACTCCGGCTATCGGCCTTATGGAGGAAACAAATTGCATTCAACACACTCTTAGCAATCAGCCTTTTTCGAGTGTACAAATCTCAAACAACCAAGAACCAATCACGCAACAGAAAAGAATGGCTATCGGCATTTGTATTCCTTCAACAATCTTGTAGAAAATGGCTATCGGCCTTATCAGAGAAACTTGCATACAAGAAATCCCATCGAAGAAACAAATTTTTTCACTGCAACATTTAAGCAAACAGATAGAGTGCAGAATTTAGGAACAAAACCTGAGACTCGAGTTCATGATCAGAAAACCCCATTGCAGAAACTCCAACAAATCATTCCAGCTACCAAAAAACCCCAGCAAATCAGAAAGAAACACTCAACGATCACAGCGGAAGAACAGCCCCAAAGATTGAAACCCTCGGCGATGATACCATATTAACAGAAATGCAGAAAGAGCATGTATCGAAGAAATGCAGAGAGAGAAAGAGAGAGAGAGTGATTGATTACATTGATACTGAATTAATTTTTACAACTATGAGAATACAGTTTATATAGCCATCATGACTAGCTTGCAGCATAAGCTATTTAACTAACTAATTCGATAACAGCTATAACAACGCAGCCACATTCTCAACTGTCTAACTAACTATTGTTCAACTGGAATGATATATTCAACAGAGACAACATATTTTTTTTTTTTTTTTAAAAGTCACACAACGTCATGAATTCAGTAGAGAAATGTATGGTTGAAATTGACTTAAATACAAAACATTGGAGACGCTGATTACTACTGAACAGAAGAAATTGGAGATGCTGATTGATTTGGTTATGGCAGTAAATGGGAGCCGCTCTTTTTCCTTTCGCGATTCAAATGTTTTGTTTTACAGATGCCAAACTTACCGCATTATATTTTTTTCTCTCCATATTGATTCATGTATGTTGAATGGTGATGAACTGAATTCCAATCTTCCAATTAAAAAATATATATAAAATATAAAACTCTAACCCATAAAATACCCTACTGCATAAGAATTATATATCGCTTGCTTGTTTGGATTATACCACAGCTGAAATAGCCCAAATTTCGAGCTACATCAAGAAATCGTTGCTAGAAGAGAAACTTTTAGGTATCAAGTTAATAACTAAGAGAGCGTCATGTATAATATTTTAGAACTTATTGATTAAACTTTATATTATATATATAGTATTTGTTAATTGTATATATGATGCATTTTTCATTTGTCTTTTCACATTATTGTTTTACTTAATGGCCATAACAAATTGTAGGGTTTGGTAAGTGAGGATCTTCTGGACTCGTTTAATGTACCCATTTACATTCCAAGTCCGTCTGAAATTAAAAGAGTGGTGTTGGGAGGTTAGAGGTACTGTACTACACAACAAATCTTAGTACTCCTGATGATGTTCGAGGTCGCGTCTTTCATATAAGAGCGACGATTGAAGGCATTCTAGTGAAGCACTTCGTATCCGAGCTCAATACTAAAGAACTTTTTGAGAGATATATTCACAAGATTGAATAATTCTCAAAGACCCTTCGGTTTACAAACTCTGAGAAGATGGCAAATTTGTTTATTCTTGTTAAGCGGATCAAGTGGCCTATTTTATAGTAGGCTAAACAAGCATCTGCATATTTGTTGTTAAGTGATACACGACTGTGGCTGTCTGTGTGATTTTTTTGTAATGTTTTAAAGTGAATAACCAAGTGTCTTCTGTTGATATTGTTTGTCTAATATAATAAGATTATCGTCATTGCGACCAAGAACGACTACTAGAAAAAATGCAAGTAAACGAATAGCGGTGTTATTTAATTATATCGTACATGCACACCAGCTATTTTAACTGTTGTAATTATGCTAAAGCCGCAACATTTTTCTACAAAAACGTTGTTTTTGGTTAAACACACGGCTTTGTAGTAAAAACTTTCATGCTTTTATCACAAGAACTATTGTAGTTCTTGGATGTTTACAACAATTTTCTTGAACAATTGTCTAATTTGGCATCAACGGTTATTCTTAATTTGTATTCCATAACACTTAGACCACTGTTTAAATACTAAAACCGTTGCACAAAATTTCTAAATTACTTCCATTTATTAGTGTCAGCATTCATAAATCATTACATTCGAAATTGTACTTGTTGGGCCTTGGCCCATTCGTCAGCGCGGAAATGAAATTCAGATTACAACTTCACCAAAGTCATTCACAGTTGAACATAAAAAAATATAAGAAATAAAGACATCGAAGAATTTACGAGGTTCGGCAAAAAATCTGCCTACGTCCTCGAAGAGATGTTGCTCTTCACTATAAGAATAACAGTACAAATTACACATGAGTTAGATCGACATAACTCAATCCCGAATCCCGAATCCCTTGTACGTCCACTCACATAATCTTCACAAGAGTCTCACTCTATCCCAAGAGTTCTTTCACCATAGACTTTTTACTCTAGCTCTCTTGATTTCTCTCAACCCATGTTCAACCTTTCCATGGGAGAGCCGAATGCTCTCCCCTTTGGATGCTTCTCTGATGCTTGCCCTCTCACTCGGTAAGCATACTAAATGCATAAAATTGCATCTAGTCATACACTAGCAACTATGCCAACAATCAAGGCCAAAAAGTCTTAAGTTCACATGACATAATCAACATCTAGCCTACCTAGCATGCAACCCTTTTCTCCATTTGCCATTTAGGCCTCGTTTGGCAGCTCGGACTGTACTGACTATTTCTGTCGGATAGGATAAATAGTCACCGGATAGGACTGACTAAATTAATCGGACGTTTGGTGCAGTATCGGATTAATGACCGTATTATTTATACTGTGTTTGGTTGGATACTCTATCGGATAAGAAAGACTTAAAAATATTATTATATTGATGAATGATGAATTTTGAACAATACTGTGAAATTACATCAAATCCAAATCTTGCAGAAACCAAACCAGCACAAGCATTGATATTATGAATTCATCAAGCTTCATTCAGATGTAATCGCTCAACCCATTTCTTCAACTGGGTTCGAATTTCCAACATACCCAATTTAGGATCTTTGCAATTTTCAACATACAGATCAATTTTTTTTTTCGGATCTGGAAGAAGAAAAATAAGAGGAGGATGGCAGAACATAGAGAGAAAAAGAAGAAAAATAGCAGGTGAAAGGCGGAACAGAGAGAAGAAGAAGGAGGACCTGGGATTCAGATGAGAGAGAAGAAGGAGAAAAAAGACGAAGAAGAAGAACCTGGGTTCAGATGAGAGAAGAAGAAGGAGGAGAAGACAAAGAAGGAGAACCTGGGATTCAGATGAGAGAAGAAGAATGAGGATAACCTGGGATTCGAAGGAGAACCTGGGAGTTGGAGAGAGCGAGAGAGCCATGTTTTCAACCCGACTAAATAATACCGTGGTTTTGGAAATGATAGTTAAGCGGATGTCAGCCGTATAGAATAGGTTGAGCCGGAGTATTTAGTTGGCTGACTATTTAATACATGGGGACACCAAACACCTGATACCGTATAATTAATCCTATCCGGTGTGTTATACGGTGTACCAAACGAGGCCTTAATGCATAGAAGAGAAAGCATGCAAAATTTCAAGCGACCGACTTTGCAACCCACAAAGTCAAGACATGCTTCCAACTTTGCTTGTAGCAGTGATCATGTCTTCTCTTGAACGAAGACTTCCTCGTCACAACTGAAAGCATTCGCTTGATCTTCAATTGTTGTCAACACATAACTCATAATTACTCAAAAATGAACGAGCCAAACACAACAGTAATCCACTGCCATAACATGCAAAGATTCCAAATAGACTTAGATATAAAGAAAAACTAATGAAAATGGTTTGAAAATTTTAAGTTTTAACGATAAGAACAAAATAAATGATAAGTGAATAGTACCAAAATTAACTTAACTTCATCAAGCCTTAGAACAATGCATAAGAGATACTGACTAGTGGCCCAGCCCACTAGTTTCTCATCACCTGTTGAAGAATAGATAATATAAAGAATCGCGTAAGTGAATATTATAGTTATTCCCTGCAAAATTGCACAATGATATAGATGTGATCCGAAGTCATGAACAAACAAAAATTGAGAGAGAGAGAGAGAGAGAGAGAGAGAGAGAGAGAGAGAGAGAGAGAGAGAGAGAGAGAGAGTTCAACATAAATCAAACATGAATTAAATTAACCGGATAGAAAAATACTTCTAGAGTAAAAATTAAAGAAATCATCTCACACCAAAGCGAAGAAATTAATGCACTTTGCATTTTTGTCATGATCTAAAATCTAAATAAGATTCAATGTGATTACAGACAATGATAAAGATGCGCTGATACTCTCAACAGAATATTTATATAAGATATGTCACTCAAGTGTTTGCATATTGATTTTTGTAAGTCTTACAAGAACGAATGTTTATATTTAGTGGCTCTTCAGCTTTTATGTTTAAAAACTGTGCATTTACCCACATTTCACTCCATCTTAACCTCCTCACTACAAATATGATTTCAACGTACGTTTAAATAAAATGGTGGTCAGCGCATTTGGTGGATAAAAACACATATATACTCCAACATTAACGTATTGAAGAAAATACTAAGACACATCAACAACTTACGTGTAAATTAACAATGGTTTTATTGTTTAAACAAACTTAAGTTTATAAAGAAAAAACACTGTTTCCACAAAAGTGAAGTGGGACGAGGGGGCTGTGGTGGGCAAGAGGAGCCGCTTACAGGCCGCGCCGAGGTGCAAGGACGGACCACGTTGGCGCACGTCATCCATGCAGCTGACTAGGACGAGTTCAACTGATGATGTAGCACAGAATTTTCAGCCAAACTCTGTGTAGGCCAAAACTCACCACATGCGCGCCACAGTTATTCTTCATCCCAGTCCGCGCCCTCCAAAATTACCCTTCTTCACCCCCAACATTCACCACCCCGAACCAACTAAAACAAAGCCTCTTCTCCCAAACTCCAATCATGGGCATTCTAGACATTTCACCACCATGTTTGAACCTGTACAAACTCGTCCTAACCTATTTGTGTTCAACTGAATCAGCTCCAACAAATTCAGTTACTTTCACCATGGCTACCAAACTCTATGTTCTCACCATCTTCATCCTTCTCATCAGCATTGCCGGCAATGCAGCCGCAGCAGAGTCACAACAATGTGCGTCTAAATCCAAAGGAGAATGCCATGACAAAGCACAATCCCTAAAACTGAAGCTCATTGCCATAAGCTCTATTCTAGTCACAAGCATGATTGGTATCTGCTTACCCATTCTTTCACGCAAAGTTTCGGCTCTTCAGCCCGACAAAGACTTGTTCGTAGTTGTCAAAGCATTTGCCTCCGGCGTCATTCTTGCAACGGGTTACATGCACGTTTTACCCGACTCGTTTGATTGCTTGAGATCCGAATGTCTGCCTGAATCGCCTTGGAGGAAGTTCCCATTCACAACGTTTGTGGCTATGCTTTCGGCTTTGCTGGCTATGATGGTCGACTCGTTTTCGATGAGTTACTCTAGGAAATCTTTCCTTCGCAGAGCCGCCGCGCGCGAGGAAGATGAGGAGAGTGCTAAAAATAGTAGGTGCCCTGATCAATTAGAGCATTTTGGTCATGGCCATGGGATTAAGACTGAGGATGGGCTCAATGGTAAGGATTCACAGTTGCTGAAGCATCGTGTTGTCGCGCAGGTACGAATATTACGAATTTTGTGGTGTCTTTTTTCCTTTTTCCTTTTTCACGTTAGGTAGGGTCATAAATACTCTTAAAACCACTTGAACAACAATATTCTAAAAGGTAATACTTGTGTTTCTCTTATGGAGAACTTACTTGTCCCCACTTATGAATAACGCATTTTTGCCATACAAACAAATATCATTTGATTTGTAGACCATTTAGCTATCTATATGTGTCAAACCAATCAATGATTTTGGTAATAAGTAGTATTCTTATAATGAATTGTCCATTTGTTTGATGCATATGAATATGGCTAAAAAATCTCTAAATCGAATAAGCTTTTGCATATATGATCTTTAGATGACGATAAAGATAATGAATGGTTCCAATTATAATCTTTGCACAATAAAATTCATTAACCATAAATGAGAGGATAAGTAGGTTCCTCCGAAGAGAAAACACAAGCATTATGCAATCTGATCTTGCATACTATATTTGAATCAATTTAACCAATTAATAATCTGGCATTACTTTAAATTAAGTTAGGGTTTGAATCATTTTTATTTGAGTACATTTGAATGTTGATGCAGGTATTGGAACTAGGGATCGTAGTGCACTCGGTAGTGATTGGATTGTCAATGGGGGCATCTGATAATCCATGCACAATGAGACCACTCATTGCTGCCATTTGTTTCCATCAATTCTTTGAAGGAATGGGTCTAGGTGGATGCATACTACAGGTTAGATTATTAATCTGCAAATATGATTTTAGCCCTTGAAACTCAAGTTTCTTTACATAAAACCCGACATAGTCTTTTTACTTGAATAAAACCCAATGACTAGGCTCCACATAAGCAAATTCATTAATTTTGTTTGACTTTACACATTTTGCATCTTTCAGATGCCTAAAATACCCTTAATTACAATTTTAATGTATACATTTAATTCTATGCATGACACACCCCATCCCGAAGGAGGGCATGCTGGCCGTCACGTGAGAGTGACGTAACCATTTGCACAGTACGGAAGCTTTAATTATACAATTTATAAGTTGATACACCCGAAGGTGAGTCCTAATTTTGTCCAATCTGTCAGAACACCGTCGAATTCCTCGTAGTCACCACACCTTTGTGATTCCTGAACCTGGAGGGGCGCAAAACCAAAATTGAGTGGGTCAGTAAAACAATTCTTTTCCAAATCCAAACATTTCTCAAAACGTTGTAACCCCTCTCCGTAAAACTTGTATACTTTCCCAGAAATGTAAAATATAAATATACATATATATTCTCAAAACTTCATTTTTACTATCTCAACATTTTTCAGTACAAATATGCCATGCCATGTCAGAATTCAACAGTTAAGTATGAATGCATCAACAATAATTATATCAGGTGCAAGAAGTAATCAACCGGAGGCCCTCTAATAGCCCTGTATGGTTGAACCTAGAGCTCAAAATCTATCACTCTCACTCTGCCGGAGTCACCTCTGTGACCTGTCCGGCCTTCTGCACACAAGTTACGCTCTAGTGCTTTCTCATCAATCATATGTGCACATAATCTAAGGTCACCCACCAGTCGAAATCTCACTAACACTCTACGACTGGCCCGTCGCACCCACTCCGCGTGGACTGTGCGACCAGCATCTACTTGGATCCAAGGTGAGCGTGCGATGCGGTGAATACTATAAGCACTAAACCATGGTGCAGGATTTGAGCTCAATATATATCAACATCATCATAACAGTAATTAAATACTCACCTGATACTCACATGTGCGTCCGCCGCACCATTCATTCATATGCATCATATATCAATTCATATCATTTCATGCATGGCAATTCGATTCACATTTCTATATACTTTTCATATACTTTTATGCATGGCATCTCAATTCACATTTCAATATACTTTTCATTTAATTTTGATTTATGGGGAAACGTCAAGTATATATATACGGAAAACAAAACTGCCCACTCACCTGGAGTTCGCCCTACAACTCCCTAGCACAATACGCCAAGGCGTCATGACGATCGGCGCCTAAAACAATAATCAATTCCAACCTCAGAATTTATAGTGATAGAATATATAACTTATATAAAATACGTCACTACGTAGTTCGATCCGGAAGATCCACCACTCAGATTTTAAATCCATAACTTCCAGAGGTCCACAATATATCTCTAGGATAACCTCCTAAAATTTCATTACCATCCAACGGTCGGATCTCCGTCAATTTCCAAAACTAAGTGACGGTTAACATTTTATTTTATGAACTTACAATTCCAATTCCGGAAGATCCGTAACTCGGATTCCCAATCCGTAAGTTCCAATAATCCTCAAATATTACGTATTACAACGTATCAAAGTTTGGTAACGATCCAACGGTCGGATCATCAATTCACATTTTCACCTAATGCGAAAACTATAAAACGTTATTCGAACACCTAACCAACAATCCTTAATAACTTTCTCATACGGTGCTCAATTTGGGTATATGAATATACCACAGTGATCTACTCGACGTCACCGACGTCGACATATTTTTAAAATAATTGTTTACTGTAGCACGCGCCCCCACGCGCCAAGGAAGGCACGGGTCCACGCGCCCCCACGCGCACCTTCTTCTTCCTTGGGTCGCCGGACTGGTTTTTCCGGCGGCCGTTTTTCAAATTGCCATAACTTTGTCATTTCTCAACGAAATCAAGTGATTCAAAAACGAAAGTTGTAGCTCTTGAAGAGACAAAGAGAATTGTACCTTGTAAAACACCTAATTCGCCGTGGTTTGGCCGGAAACTGCCTCGAAAGCCTCGGAGGTCGCCGGAAACTGGGTATTTTTCAAATGAGTATAACTTCTTCAATACTCAATGAAATTGAGTGAAACAAAAAGGAACGTTGTAGTACTTGACGAGACGAAGAGATTGATACCTACCTCGACTCCTAACTCGCCGGGGATTCGCCGGAAAAATCCTCGAAAGCTCCGGCCAAACTTTGAACTTGTCGATCTCCGTGTTCTTACGTCCAAAAACTTCCAACGAAGCACTCCGAGCTTCCTTGGGACCTCACTAAGCTCGCTGTGATCTTTTTTTAGCCTAAATCGTAACCATTTAAAAGATCATGAACAGTGCTCTTCACGGGAACTTTGAAACTAGGGTTTTCCGAAGCAAAACTTACCTGAAATGGATACCATCGTGATCGTGAAGTCTTCAGAGTTCCAATGGTGGTCTTAGATTCGTCGTTGGTGGAAGTTTAAGGTTGTTTTGTGGTTGGTTTGTTCGAACGGAGAAGAAGAGTGACAGAGAGAGTGAGAGAGTCGTGAGGGAAGAGAGAGAGAGACAGCATGCAGAAAATAGGGAGATGATTGAGCGGTGTGGGGATCCCACGTGTTCCTTTTCCAATCCCCAACTCCAAACCACAAAATTTTAACCTAAAAATCTAAGTTCCATCCTTAATAAATTCCATTTTATTTTCAAAACTTAGGAACCTAGATAATTATCAACTTGAGCTTCACATACTTAGTATTTCTTAAGGGCAAATTCGTCCATTCACAGCCACGAATGTAATATTTTGGAACGGGCTGTGACAATCTCCCCTCCTTATAGAATTTCGTCCCCGAAATTCCAGCAACCAACTAAATCAACCATACTCCAATAAGAGCTTCGGGTAAATCTCTCTCATCCGATTCTCTTTCTCCCACATACTTTTCTACTGAATGATTTCTTTCACAAAGCTTTTACTACTTACTCTGTCTTAATTCTCAAGACCTTCTTTTTCCAATCCAAAGTCGTCCTTGGTTCCTTATCAAGTCGAATCCAATTTAATTCTCAATAGTTACACCATAATCCCATGTGACAAATCTGCCACCTAGTGACAACGCATCGAACACAAAATACATTATGTGCCTTAGCCAATTCTGAAGGCATCACAAACTTGTATGCAACTTCATCGATTCCTTTAATGATCAAAACGGACTGATGTGTTCAAGACTTATCTTGTCTTCCTTTCTGAATCTTACTATTTCTGTTCATGGTGAAATTTCCAAAAAATATAAAATCATCTACGTTATACACTCGATTAGTGGCATATCCATCTGTTAATCTCTTTTGCCATTCCTGGCTACTTTCAGGTTAACTTACTCACCTGAATATTCTTAGAAGAGACTCATCCAAAATTTCGGGCCCACTAAAATTCTTTTGTGATTGAATCTTTCTCTACCCAGAAGCATTTCATCCACAATTCAGCAAAAATTGACACACATGACATGCTTCATGGACATTATGGCGTTACTTTGAAAACTGGCGAAACCAACATACTTAAGAAACTCAGCAGTTCCGTAAACCAATTCTTCTTTCCATTTCCACTGCGAAACAGAAAATAGTTATCTCAATCCAAAGGTTTATCTCTTTCTGCCTCAATCTACTGACCAAATAAAACTGTCGAATGGTATGATAAATCTTATTACTTTTGGAATATTAAACAATGTACTTCGTCCAAAAATTGCTTACTTTAAATCCTTAGCATTAGGCACATACTTTTTGTTTTCTTGTATCCACATACCATTTGATTCACGAATCATGTACTCATTCTTTTTCCCTTCTTTCTCTGCCTTGGTTAATTCTTAAATTTCCTCGTCAAACATTTAAGTTTCGAGTACGACCTTACCAAACAGGCCTAACTTGAAATTTAACAAGTATAACTTATTCTCGATCTTCCATTCTTAATTTTTCTTCCGTTGGTTTTCAATCCACAAGATGATACTCTTGGCAAACGTACCAAGCATTAATTCTTACTGGAGTCTTCTCATCAAGTGCTTCAGCTACAACAATTCACGATCACCCTGATCGTACAATCATAATCGCTAAGTAATTCAATCCACCTTTGTTGCCTCATATCAAAATCCTTCCGAGTAAACAAATATTGGAGACTCTTTTGATTTGTAAAATCTTGCATTCTTATCAACATATAATGTCTCCATAACTTCACAGCAAGGATGATAATCGTGACTTCCAAATCACCAGTAGGGTAATTCATCTCATGAGGTTCCATTTATCGTGAAACGTATGCAATCACCCTAACATTTGCATCAACATGCCTCCAATACCATTCAAGAAACATCACTAAAAATTTATGATTACCACTATTCTCTGGGATTACTAAAATACGTGCATGAGTGAGGAAATACTTCAGTTGTTGAATCCTTTGCTCACAATTTCCTTCCCACTCATACATAACCTCTTTTCTCAACAGTCTCGTCAATGACAAAGCAATGACTGAAAAATCTTTCACAACCATCCAAGATAGCCTGGTAAGCTAAGAAATTCCGAATCTCAATTATGGCTTGTGGTTGTTCCAAATTTTTAATTCTGCTGCCTTTTAAGAATTCATTTGAATACCTTAAGCAGGTATAACCAATCTCAGAATGCCACTTGATTCATCCAACATTCGCATTTGCTAAACTTAGCATACAACCAACGTTCTCTCAATCTTTGTTTCACCAACTTAATACGTTTACATGCTCTATGTTTGTACCATACTTGACCAATCCCGAAACTACCGAGCACCGGCCAACGCTATACTGTCAAGGACCCAGAAGAGTTCCCCTCCGACCAGGAGGCCAATCACTACTCGACACGTGTCAAGATTAGAAGCCAATCAGAGCGCAGCACGTGTCAACATCAAGAACCAATCATAACATGACACATGTCAATGTGACAAAGCTACAAGTTTTTCTATAAA